AGACTAGGGTCAGCTGGGTTTAGGAATTAATAGAAAAGCCTACAGACTGAGCCACATCTGCACAGGTCGGAAGTCTCAGGTATCCGCAGGGCACTTTAGTGGGAGGTGTCCTGAAGGAGGCTGATTTCAGCTCATGGAGGTCTTTAGGCTATTTGTAAATCCAGCACAATTTATACCAATGATGAATGGATTCAGGGCAGGTCAGCTGCAGTATAACATAGCCCTATTGTCCCTTGATCAAGAAAGAAAGAAAGAAATGGAGGAAGGAAGGAGGGAAGGAGGGAAGGAAGGAAGGAAGGAAGGAAGGAAGGAAGGAAGGAAGGGAGGGAGGGAGGGAGGGAGGGAGGGAGGGAGGGAGAGAGGGAGAAAGGGAGGGAGGGAGTGAGTGAAAAAGAAGGGAAGGAGGGAGGGAAGAATGGAGGGAGGGAGGGGAAAAGGGGGAAGGGAAAAAGGGAGAAAAAAGTGAGGGAGGGAAAGAAGAAAGAAGGAAAGGAAGGACAGAAGGAAAGGAGAGAAAGAAAGGGGGGAAGGGAGAAAGAAAAAAGGAAGGAAGGAAAGAAAGAAGGAAGGAAAAAGAAAAAAAGAAAAGAAAGGAAGAAAGAAGGAAAAAGAAAGAAATAGAAATAGAAAGAAAGAAAAAGAAACAAAGAAAGAAAGAGGAGAAAGAAAGAAAGAGAAAGAAAGAAGGAAAGAAAGAAGAAAGAAAGAAGGAAAGAAAAGGAAGGAAGGAAGGAAGAGAAAGAAAGGAAGAAAGGAAGAAAGGAAGAAAGAAGAAAGAAAGAAAAGAAAGAAAAAACGGAAGGAAAACCTCTCCACCTATTTTCCCTTAGTTTCCCCATTGGTGCCATGGAGATATAGGTCCTCATAGCATCCTCAGGACACAGGTCCTTGGATTCTAAGTGTGTCCCAGCCCAGCCGCTGTGTGTCAGGGCCCTGGTGCCTGTGGGGCAATGGCTAGAGCTGGACTCACAGCATCAGCCATTGCCTTATATCCCATGGCCTGTGTCACCAAGTGCCATGGTAAGTGGAAGTGATGCCTCCCCAGAGATCACATTAGCTCTGATAATGCTCCAGCCTCCCGTGCACCACTTGCCCTCAGGCCACCTGGCTGGGCAGGAAGCAGGGCACCTAGAGAAGCCACATGGCCCCATGGCAGGGAGTCTGGGCCAGAGATGGAGAGAGACGCCTTCCTTTTCAGCCCAGCCCCAGCCTGGTGTCCTCACTGCTGACCCCCAGTAGTCTCTGAAACCACAGGTGGGTGGAGCTCCCGGACTTGCTGATTGGCCCTCTGATGGTATACATGTTACAGGGAAATGCCTCCCTCCACCCTTGTAACAAACACTTCCAGAGCCTTGCCCACACCTCTTGTCATCCACTGTTGCTGTCCGTACCTGGGGCTCTGCTGGTAGCCTTTCTCTGGCAGCAGGACAGGCTCATCCCGTTCATCAGACAGGCTGGACTTGCTGGGAAGCTGACACTCTGAGAGCGGCCTTAATGGATAAATGCTCCACTTTCCTTGCCCCTCAAGTGAGACAACCCTGAGACATGCTCTATGCAGGCTCCCTGAGGCCCCCAGCAGGGCTGAGCACCAGTTTCCCCAGCAGCAAGTGCTCATTAATCTACCTTCTACTGGTTTCCTTCCAGTTGCTGTCTCACTTCTCTCCCCGACCAGTGCTTCCAGGGATTATCTCCAAAATAAACTACTTGCATTCAAATCTGTTTCTAGTTCTGTTTCTGGAGGAATCCAGTACAAAACAAAACCAACCAAAGACACCAAACCCAACCAAAGTCTAAGATCTCTTCTAGTGCTGTTTTGTACCTGTTTCTGGAGCACCATTTAGGTAACAGTATACATCAGGCACTGTCCTTGACCCTGATAGGGAGGTCTCATAAATAACTGTACAGGCAAGTACACACGGCAGTATAAAAGAGGAGTTTGACTCTGGTGTAGGAAGTGGTTATCAGGGAAAGCTTCACAGTGAAGGTGACTGGAGGTTTCAGAGGATGAATAGGAGTTCTCCAGATAGAAAAAAAGAATAATGGAAACAGCATATTCAAAAATCCAGAAGTGTAAAAAAGCACAAGGTATTCAGGGAACCACTAGTAGTTAAGTATCTCTCACGTTGCTAGAGAATAAAGCATATTTTGGAGGTGAAAAGGGATTTGTAGGAAAAATGAGGAGAGAATTAGAATAGTAGGAGATGCAGTTAAATAGCTAGAGTCTTGCCTGTACTCTTCAAAGTATTTAGACATTATCTTAGAAAGATTGGAGGATTTTTTTAAATTGTGAATTGTCTTTTTCTGATTGCATAAGTATCAAATGCTTATTGGGGAAAAGTTGGCACACACAAAGAAGAAAATAAAGCTACCTTAAATCCAGAGTTAATTAAATTGTATTTATGTGTTGGTGTGTCTCAGAGGAGTTTCAGGTAGAGGAGTGAGGTGGTCACACTTGAGTTGAGGAAGAGCTCTGCCAGCTGGTGATGTTCATGCAGCTAGAAAAATACTGGACGTGAGGTGGCCAGCTCAGAGGCTGCTGCAGTGAGGAATGCTGGGGGGTCCTCCATTACGGCTTTGCAGGGTGTTTCAGAGGTGGGATTCTCAGCACTTGAAAACTAGTTGGATGGGGTGTGGGGTAGAGGAGAGAAGGGGACCATGACTACTAGAGAGACTCTGAGTGTCTTCACCATGACTTGGTGGAGGGGGCAGAAGCTGGAAGCCAGGAGACCTGGGTTCTCATTTCCACTCTGTGACTTCCAATCTGTGGGACCTTGGACAGGTCCCCTTAGCCCACAGAGCCACAGTTTCCTGACCTGATACACGGAAACATGATTCTCTTCCTGCTTTCCTTACAGGCTTGTCGTGATGGTCCAATAGATCAAAGGAGATAAACACCTTTCATTTGTGGAAACCTACAGTTCTGGGCTCTTGTCCTAAAACCTCTGCTCAATCTTTTCCCTCACCTTCTGCCTTCTGTCATCAGCCCCCAGAAGGCAGGGGAACCCACCACCTCTCTAGATTTCCCTTCCTCTCCCCTCTACATCCTGCCCAGAGGACATTTGTGATGATGGTTCCTCTGGTGCAAATGTTCTAAACATCCCCACACACCACCATTCATTCATTCATTCACTTCACATTCTGGTTGATGCTCTAGTATGTTTCAGGTGCCAGAACATGTGTTGTAAATGACAGACAAGGTTCCTGTGCTTGTGGAGCTCACATACCACCCAAGGGGGGGGGCATAAAATTAAACAACTAGAATAAATTCGGATAGTGATGTAACAAAGGAATAAATAGAGTGATAGGATAGAGAGTGAGGGTGTATTTCCAATTTGAGTGGTCGGAAGGAATCTCTGAACTGAGACCTGAACAACTCAGGCAGAGAAAACAGCAAGTGGGTCACAACCTGTCCTGACCACACTGGGTTGTGATAGACTCTTTACACACTGGCCTGGGAGCTCCTTGAAGGTAGGGACTATCTCCTCTCTAGCCAGCACTGTTCAAGCACAGAGCAGGTGATCAGCATCTGCTAAACGGATTACAAATGAATGAATGAATGAGGAAACGACTATCAGGTCCAAATGGCTCACTTCTTTACTTGTTTAATTGTTACCGTCTCAAATTCCCTGACACGTTATGAAAACCGCAGCCCCACTGTCCCCCCCATTCCCTTCCCCCATCATATAACGTGTGTATTTATTGTGCTTTCCATTTCCTCTGTCTCGGCCGGCAGAACGTAAACTCGACGAGGTCAGGAATCTCCCAGTTGTGCTGCACCAGTGTAACCCAAGAGCCCTGAACAGTGCCTGGCACATAGCAGGCATATGGAAGAACAAATGCATGACGGGTTAATTAATGAATAGATGAATGAATGAATAGTAGTTCTCAGCCTCATAGAACACGGGTCACAGCCTCAAATGCCCTGCTACACTGCCCATAAATAACAGAGATGCAGGAGTAAGTGCTGGGCTATGACATGTCAACATGCTATGCGGCTCCGACAAAACTGCCCAGCAGCCCGCTGCCTGCCTATTTGCAATACGGGGCCCTGAGCTGCACATTCCCATTTCCTTGATGAAGCAGCTCTGGCCAGGTGGTTTAAGCGGCCTGCTGCGGACGACAGAGCTGGTGCTCTACCGGTCGCCGCTTCTTCAGTCCTGTTTTGGCCTCCTCTCTGATGCGACGCAGACCCAGTTCTGGAGAGTCTGTCACTCGCTCCCGGTGGTGGGAGATCAGAGCCTGGTGCCCTTGGGAGCGGCATGCGGTGGCCGGCGCAGAATTGAAAGGGAGTGCGCGCCCGGGTCCCCCAGATCCCTAGGAGCCCGCGCCGCACTCCCGCCCCTGCCCATCCGCGGCCGCGCTGTCAGTCTCCATTAGCGCTAACAGGCTCCAGACGGAGCGGGCCGGGCGCTGGGTTAATGCAATCGGCTCGTTACCTGGGGCGCAGGCTACATTACCAGCCCGGTCCCCGCCAGGCTTAGCCAGAACCAGTCAGCCCGCGCCCCGCCGGCCGCTCCGCGCCTCCAGCGCTTCCCCAGACGAGCCTGAGCGCCACGCGGCGGAGCCCAGACCCAGCCCGCGCCCCAGAGCCTGCGGAGGAGCCGCCGGTCAGGGGCAGGCAGGGCGCACGGCACCAGGGATCCCCAGGACAAGTGAGTGCGCCCTGAGCGCGGGACCGGGCTAGGTGTGCCGGGGAGGCCCGGGGCAAGACGCGCGAGCAGAGGGCCAGCGAGTTTGTAGTTCAGTGGCGTTGTGTCCAGGAAGGCTCCCGGGGCTGTTGAAGTGGGGCGGCCCCAGCTGGGGAGGGGCCAGCACACTGCCCCAGGCTCGGTGAGTTCAAACCCAGCCAATTGGGGCAGGAGAGAGTGGACGGACGAGGAAAAGTGCTGCGGAGTTTTCAGACACACCCACAGGGCTGTCAGAAGAGGTCTCCAACTCTGAGCTCCGGCGTGTCACAACCTCTGTTTCCAAATTTTTCCAACAGACGCGCGCCTTTTCCTGGGAGCCCTGTGTCCGCTCAGCACGCGTTGATCCCAGTGTCCGCAGAGCTCCCAGGTGGTCTCGGGAGATCCAAGTAGGGAGGAACTGCCCTATAACCATCTCTTTTCCCTTTATCCAAGCAGAGCCTCGGCGTGCCCCCAGGACCGCTAAAGTTCTTCTTGCCAGCCGCACCCATGCTTCTGGCGCGGATGAACCCGCAGGTGCAGCCCGAGAACAGCGGGGCGGACGCGGGACCGGAGCAGCCCCTTCGGGAGCGCAAATCTGCGGATCTGCTGGTGGTGAAGGAGCGCAACGGCGTCCAGTGCCTGCTGGCGCCCCGCGACGGTGACGCGCAGACCCGGGAGACCTGGGGCAAGAAGATCGACTTCCTACTGTCCGTAGTCGGCTTCGCGGTGGACCTGGCCAACGTGTGGCGCTTCCCCTACCTCTGCTACAAGAACGGCGGCGGTGAGCGCGGGGTCCAGCTGGGGATTTGAGGGAGGCCCTCCGTCTGCAGCGGTGACTGGGACAGGAGGTGGGATACACACGGAGGGGAAGCCAGGAAACACAGGGGCAAATCTGGGGCACAGAAAGGGGACGGACAGGGCTAAGGGGAAAAAAAGGATTTGAGTCCTCTGGAAGATCGTGTTCCTGGGATCTTTAAAGGGTACCTCTGAGCTCGTCCCAGCGTTAAGTGTCAGGATTGGGGACGCTGGGAGCAAAGCGGTGGAAAAGTGAAATACAGGCATGACCCTAAGGTTATGATAGGCACATGGATGGAAGAACAGAATCTAGGGTGCCAGGTTGTGAAGGGGAGCCTGACCTTTTGATGGTCTGCTGGAAGGGAAGTGGAGGCTCCAAGAGCTCTCGAAGGGGCACCAGAAGTGAGTGGGATGTGACAACCAGGCCCACAGTGACCTTAAATCTAGCACTTTGAGCCTGGGGAAAGGAAACCTCTGGGCCAGGACTGGTGAGAAGACTTTGGCTCTCTGAAGGCATCTGGGGAGGCCCTGTGGTCTTGGGAATAGAAACACACAAGGAGAAGTCAGTATCAGAAAGAATGCCACTCTCAGGTTGGTAGTTGTTTTGCTGAAGGGTTCCGCAAGCACAGCCCAGGTGGAATCAGATCAGTAGGTGCCAAGAACTGGCCTGGTCCTCAAGGTAGGAGGCCTAGATGATTGGGGCGAAACCTCTACCTCCTCAAGTTCTAGCCACATTGTAGGGAGGAGTGGGAGAGGGGTCTGGAGAAGACTCCAGTGTAACAACCATACTCTCTCCCTCTTCTCCTGCTGGGTGGTCCAATTGCCCATCTGCCTGAGAACGAGAGCCTGGAGATCATCTACAGTCAATCAAAGAAGAATAACAGCACTCTGGGCTAGGGAAGTGGCCCGGGGAGTCAGGGTGTTGAACCCCAAGCCCTAGCTCCTTCCTGAGGGGCTTTTCTCCTGGGGTGCCCAATCCTGCCGCTTTTGCTGGGATGAGCTCAGAGGCACCCTAGAGCCTGGGAAAATAGCCCTTCTAGAGGAAGAAATTGGAGAAGAGGGCCCAGCTCTGAAAGCCTCTCTCTATCCACTTGGCCATACTGCCTGGCAGTAGCTGTGACTCTGGACTTGAGGGAGGTCAGAAAGAGGAAGGGCAAGAATTTAGAGCTGGGTAGAGGGAAAGCTCATGACCTGTTCACAGGCTCCAGGACTCATGGCTCTTTGCTTCTGTGTGTACTCTGGACACTTGCTTTGGGATGGGCAATACTTGGTGTTTGCAAAAAAGGAGTGGGGCCGGGTATGGTGGCTTATACCTGTAATCCTAGCACTTTGGGAGGCCAAGGTGGGCAGACTGTCTGAGCTCAGGAGTTTGAGACCAGCCTTGGTAACATGGTGAGACCTCGTCTCTACTAAAAATACAAAAACTTAGCTGGGCATAGTGGCACATGCTTGTAATCCTAGCTACTCAGGAGGCTGAGGCAGGAGAATCACTTGAACCTGGGATGTGGAGGTTGCAGTGAGCTGAGATCATGCCACTGCACTCCAGCCTAGTCCATGGGTGACAGAGCAAGACTCTGTCTCAAAAAAAAAAAAAGGGAGTGAGATCACCATAGAGCACAGGTGGCTCTGAGCAGAGGATGTCAAGTAAGAAAGCAGTTAGCTCTTCCTACGAGTAAGTTAACCCAAGGTTGGAGCTGACAGAGATGGGTCTCATTGTCAGATAGTCTGAGATCTGATAGCTGGGACAGCAGTCCTGAGCTTCAGGGGCATTTGAAGTCTAGTGCCTGATCCCTGGGGGAACAACTTATGACTCTGCAGACTCAGTGCTTGTGTCTGGCCCTGGGATGGTCATGGGCAGAGAAAGGTGAGAAAAGGAGAAGCTAATCCAGAGGTGAAACTCTCCCACATTTGGCAGCTGTAGCCTCTCAAGGGTTCCTGGGCAGGTTTGAGCATGGCCCTTTGGACCCAGGAAGCGAGAAAATGCAGATTCTCTGTATTTTTTAGCAGGCAGAGAGATGATGAATGACAGACCTTAGGACACGCCATCTCGCCTGTCCTCAGTGACCGCCCCAGACTGCTTGTCTCTAGACAGTGGAAGGCTCTGTCATTAATCAGCAATATTTTTCTGGTTCCCCTTGGTGTGAGGCACAGTGCTAGGCCCTGCAGGGGTCATAGTCACCAAGAGGCATGAGCCACCACTTCTGCCTGCCAGGAGCTTTAGTCACCTGCATCTTTGTTGTCGTGTTGCACGTTCTTCCCTCTGCTCTATGCGTTTGTTGAAACTGAAAGCATCCAGATGGCCAATTTGACAAGTCAGCTAGATGGATATTCCAGGGCTTTCATTGACAATGTGTGCTCATTTAGCCGTTGCCAGCAATGCAGATAAAAAGCACCTGTTGTATGCAGGGTAATATACCAGGTTCTTAGGACACAAAATGACCACACTTCTCACAGGTTCCCATCTTTCGATGAAGTTGGCCAAAAGCTCCTCCTCCCAGGCTTGCTAACTCAAAACAGCTCATCCCAAGTTGATAGGTGGTTTGCCTCTTTGTGGGTCTGTATCCCAAAGAGGAAGGGGCACAATGAGAGCAGAGATTGTGGCTTTTTATCCCCGTATTTCTAATACCCAAGATAAGGTCTAGATCCCAGGACTTTGGTAGAAAGTGCCCAACAAACTGCTGTTGAATAAGTTAATGAAATTGTCCAAGCCCTCGGAGACCTCCAACCCTATTCAGAAACAACAACAGAAACACTCCGTGGTGACTAATAAAGTGAAGCCACATACACGGTGGGGCCGTGGCAGCCTATTCATTAGAGGTCTTAGCTGTGGAGTCCTGAGTTCCGGTTTCCAGCTGTTTGGCTCTGGCAGGTCTCCAGGCCTCAGTTTCCTCACCTGTCAAATGGAAAGAATGGTGTTCAGCTCACAGCATTGTTGTGGGGACCAAATGTAATAACTCATGGAGAGCCTGGCATGGAGTGTGGCCTTAGGAAAGGTGACTGCTGATTTCTGTTAATGTCATTATAATGATGTATGAAATGGATGGAGAGACAAGGGCTTTAGACAGTTGCTCTAAAGGCCTGAGGAAGGGCTGCTTAGGAAGGGCTGGGAGGAGGTGGGTTGTGGTTGAACCTCTGGATGGGGAGGGCAGAGAGCAGCAGTGAGAAGGGAGGAAGTCTCCAGGTGTGCACCTGGGGCAGGAATGTACATGGAATCATCGGAGAGAACAGGAGTGCAGGCTGGCTGCAGGGCAAGCTGGGAGAGATAAGAGTGGAGGGGCAGGTTGGGACCAGGCTGCAGAGGCCTTGGCTAAGGGGTGGGGATGTTATACCAGAGAATTTCCATTTCTGGTTAGGATGTTCACAGTTGGTGTGGGGGAGCAGTGCAGCACCCCCATCCCAGAATACGAGATCCCTTCAGACATGCTCAGCCAGCACCCTCTGGGGTTTAATTCTGTTGAGGCGTCCTACTTCTCTTTTTGTGGATCAAAAAATTCTCATCCAGTAATTCTGAAATTAGCCCCGGAGATGAGCAAGTGGTCAGGAGGGTGAGTCTCCTGCAACTGCAGAAGCAGCCAGAAGACTGGACTTTGAATACGAGCTCCGTCTCTCTCTGTGTGATCTAGGGCATAGTACAGTCCCTCTCTGAGCCTCGGGTTCCCAGCTACAGCTGAACATGAGCTTGGATGACACCACAAGATTTATTCCTTTCCGGTGCCCTGACTCAGGGTTACACCGAAGCCAGGATCACCCGGCCTATTATCTAACAGCCCTTAGTGTGCTCTGTTGGCACCAGTATTAACACTGCAGCCTCTGCAATTCCGACTGTTCATGCTGGCCCAGACTAGAGGATGTTTTGAAGTGATGACGGTGCCAATAGTTTAGGCCCCTGGCTAATGTCTTCTGAATAAATTACTGGAAAAGATCAGCCTGTCTGAACATCTTCCCCATGGCCAGCTGCTGGGATGCCCAGGCTGCAGGAGGCTTTGGGTAGGGAAAGCCACTCTCAGAAATTCCAGGGCTTTGTTCAGAACCTTCTCAAATAGCTGGTCTCCATGAGGAGGCAGTACCAGGTGGTGATTCTAGATTTTCCCTTTGCACCTGTGATCCTGGTCTGTCCTGGTCCTTGGGGAAGAACGGAAAGATTGACTAGGTGCTCACGTCTGCCTTTCCTCCAGGGAAGTGGCCACTGTGAATTATCCTTTGCACATGGCTGCTTCTGTTTGAGCCCTGTCCTGAGGACAGCTTTGGTCTGTGCATTGTAGAAAAATATGGTCCTTAGGTTCAGGGCCTGAGCCTAACATTTGCTAGAAAGGTAATAGTAGGCAAATCACTCCCCTTTGCTGATCTGAGCTTCGGTTTCCTTACGCAGAAAAGGAGAATTTCTCCACTCTTATCTCTCCCGGCTTTCCACAGCACCTTTCTGCAGGGTGAGACAGCATCAGGGACAATATATGTAAACTCCTTAAAATGATGTCACACAATAGGGGCTCCATACATGTAGTAGTTATTAGTATTTTTTTATGGTTCAATGATATTGACTGCATCTAGCCTTAGGAGTGGGTCAGGATCCTGATTTTGGAAGGAACAGGATTCATCCTGAGATGAAATCGATGGAAGGAAATAAGGCTGGAAGGTAGTCCCACTTGGGTCTGGGACCCAAGCATGATAGAAAGACTGAGGAATCGGGGCGGGGCTTTGCTCCATCTCCTGACAGCCTGATCTTGTCTCACTACAGATTCCTCACCTGGCAAATGGGGATTAGAATTCCTGCATGGGGTCCTATGACATTCTGTGGTTCTGAGTCTCCAGCAGACTTCTTTCTCCCCAAGGAAGCTCAGAGTCTCAGGGACCCCCAGCCCTTTGGGAGCCCTCCTGGCCAAAATATCTGGGGTCCTTAAAACCAAGTATGAAGTAGTGGCTGCTACAGAGGTCAGGAGTTTCCAAACTCAGTGCTCTTACATCTGGCCTGGCTGCAGGGGGCCATCTCCACCCCGGGCTTGCCAAGCTAGACACTGATTGTCAGCTCAGATGTACAATGGGCCAGCCAGCTGGTGTGGCACTCCGCTGACAAGTCTGTACACCCCTTGGCAGGAATGTGGTGCTCGTCTGGGACCCTGATCTGAGGTCACTGGCACGGTTTGGCTAGTTACTCCAAGCTTGTCAAAAGGATCTGAAGGGGCTGTTCCTGACAAGATTGGGATTTAATAGGGATAAATGTTACATCCTGCCCTGCAGTCCCAAACCCAACTGCCTAAGTAAGGATTAGGCCACAGTACAAGTGGAGAAAGGCCCCGGGGCTTTCATTAGCTGCATTCTTCATGTGAGTCACTGCCAAGATCCATTATTTAGCCAAAAAAACGTTTATTAAGTGCCTATCATATGCCAGGAATATGGGGATGAGCAAAGGAAAATCCTTGCCTTCAAGGGGGCTCATCGTCTGCTGCAGATCTCCTAAAAGTTCTTCATTTCCAGTTCCAATATTGGAGGTATTAATCCCAAATGAGGGAGGTGAGGTCTGGCTCTGTTATTTGTGGGTCCGATTTCTTTCCGTGGTGTAGTTCTGAGCAACCCAAACACCCTCTGATGTGTTTCTCTTAAAGAGACCAGGATGGAGGAAATGGAAACCAGAATCTTCACAGAGATTTTACTAAAGCCACAGCTTTATTAGGAAAAAAGCAAGTCCAGATACTCCAAAGTGACCAGCAGAGGGAGAATTACCACATAAAGAGGGGTAGCCCCATGCCAGTTTCCCTGAATTCCACCCCCATTTTTCTACTTAAAGTGGCTGGATGTAATCCATCAGGGGAGTGGGTGTGTTCCCTCAGTGGGGCTGATTCCACGTCTTTCACTCAACAACAACAATCAACACAGAAGACGTCTGTGACCAGATGTTTGGGGGTTTCTCCCTGTAATCCAAGTAAGCAATCAGGTCTGCAGTAGACACCAGCTGAGTGCCTCTGATTCAGTTCAGTGCTGGTGCTGTCTACCTGGAGATAGCATCAGATCCCACAGGCTGCGGGCTCAGTCCCACGAGAATGCCCCCAACTTTATGTTCCTATCATGAGCCCCAGGTCATTTTACTGTGGTTCAGACCCACTGTCTATAAATCAGGGTTCCCCAACCCCCGTCTGGGTTTTATTAGTTTGCTAGAGTGGCTCACAAAACTCAGAGGAACACTTTATTACATTTTCCGCTATGGTTTAGATATGGTTTGTTTGTCCCCACCAAAACTCCTGTTGAAGTTTGAACCCCAGTGTGGGAGTGTTGAGATGAGGGGCCTAGTGAGAGGTATTTGGGTCATGAGAGTGGATCCCTTATGAGTAGATTAATGTCCTTCAGAGGGGGTTAGTGAGTTCTCACCCCACTTTCTTGGTTCCCCTCTTGCCATGTGATCTCTGCACCCCTGCTCCCCTTTAATTTTCTACCATAAGTGGAAGCAGCCAGAGGCCTTCACCAGATGCAGCTGCCCAACCTTGAACTTTCCGGCCACCAGAATCATGAAACATATAAATTCCCCAGCCTTAGGTATTCTGTTATAGCAATGCTAAACAGACCACAGCACTCCCTCACCTTCACCTTGGGTCTCTCCAGCTGAGCTCTTACCATAACTCTTTGTACTACTATGATACCTAACTGTCTGTCTATCTATCTATCTATCTATTAATCTATTGTTTCTGGCTCAAAATACCAATAGCTCTTGTTGTAACATTGGGATACTTTAGGCCTCAGAAAACAGAACTTCCCTTTCTCTCTGACCTTCTCCTGCCTCCCTTCCATCTGCTCCCTTTTCTCCCCAAGGCAGGAATTTTCCCTGGCCTTTCTTTCTTGGAACTGGCCATAAAGAAATTCTCTGATCCACCTTTCTAATTCTGAGTCATAAAACCCCCATTTCAGAAGGGGTCCTGCCCCAGGCCCTGGAGGAAGGAATGCTGCACAGAGAGACCAAGAAGAATCTGAACAGACAGGCCTTGCTGGGCTTCCCCACTCAGCACATTAGTATTACATCATACTCTATTTGTCCAATCATGGTGTCAATCATGTCTATCCAATGACATCGCCATGGAAGACCCGAGAGGACAGGGTTCAGGAGCATCCAGAGAGCCAAACACATAGAGTTTCCTGAGTAGGAAATGTCTGAGGGGCTATCTCAATTTCAGAACTCTTTTAGGGTCAGCTGAGATTTGCTGAGATGGCCTTGCTCCCCTCTCTGGCTGGTGCTTCCATTCCCTAAATCTCTCCACTGCACGCACCCCGCTCCCACTACCTTCATGCCATCCTTCAGGCAGACTGCAAAGCATCCTTTCCGGGTAACAGGGCTGGTTGTGGCCAGAGGCATCCATTGTCCTGCACTTGCTCAAGGTCAGCACTCTTGTTTGGATATAAGGGTAGAGTAGCCAGCCCTATTTGGGACAGGGACATGAGGAGCCCCAGGCACTGCCACAGAGTCCTGTGTGCCGCCTCCAGCCAGCGTTCATGTTGTGCTCCACAAAGGGCCCAGACACCCTCCACCACGCAGCAGAGCCTTTACTTACTGTTCCGAGGGGACAGAGCTGCTGCACATCAGCTCTTCAGTATAATGACAAGACATGAGTCCCATTTACAAAGCACCCACTAAGTGCCTGGCACTTCACCTCCACATCTCTATTTATCACAGCAAACTAGTGATGCAGGTATTATTATCCCATTTACAAAGGGAGAGCTAAGGCTCAGAGAAGGTGCATTTAGACAAGGTCACATAGCTGCACATAACAGGGCTGGGGGACACAATTATCTTTAGGTCCAGGCATGAAGGCCTGCCCTACCTCCATGCTTCAAAGAGCCCAGCTCTGCCCCCTTCCCATCTCCTGGGAGCCAAGTATGCCTGCCCACCCAGCACACTCCCCACCCTAATACCCTGCCACCCTCCGATACCCAAATGGTAGAATTCCCTGCCCAAACAGCCTCAGGCACCTCCTAGGTCTACATGAACCTCTTGCTGGGTTCTCTCTTCTGTGTGTGGGCTGTGCTACAGGAGGAGCAGGTGTCTGCAAAGCCCGTGGACACAGCTCGGACACCTGTGTGCAAAAACCCTGACATGGCTAGATTGAGCTGGGAGAAAGTAGGGACAGGTCAAACGGGAATTCCCCTTTACCTCCACAGTACAGCCCAGAGCTCCAAGAGCTGAGAATTCCAACCTTGAACTACATAACAGAACTATTACAAGGGTCTCTTTGTCAAAGTAGGAAGAACATGTTTTATTTAACAGTTGTTGATTTGTCACCTTTAAATGTGTCAAAGTGTGAGTAGCCCTGTCTCTTGACTAAAGTCTCATCCTCTCCTGAGTCCCCATGTCTCCTGTGCTGTCAGGGTGCCCTTGGGGTGTTGGGGAAAGGAGGACAGATCTAGATTCCTCAAGCGTAGACCAAGGTTTTATTTGGGTTCGGTGCATGCCACCAGCAGTGAAAGCCTGTAGCTGAGCTGCGTGTGGAACTATTCCGTGGATTGGCACTTCTTGCATATACCAGGGTGTGGCCAGAATTCAGTTTGAGGAATCCTGTCCTCAACAGACTAGGTGTCAGGGGAGTCCCTCTCCTTCCTGAAGCCTCTCTTTGGCCACACTCCCTCCACCTCCCCCCAGACCCCCAGCAGGTCTTGGCCACTTCACCCCTCACTGCCCCAGGTTTTCCACCCCTCCACCTGCTGGGGGCTGCTCCAGCACAACCCACTCTAAACCTAATGATCCCTGGCCCTCCCTTCCTGGGCACCTGGCATTTGCACAGAGGCTTCCAGAGCCCTTCTGTACCTAGAAGAGTTCTCTCTAACAGTGGGATGGGAGGCAGCGTGGCTGGGCCAGAGGTGATAGGACCAATGCTTTTCTTACTAAATTCATCCAAAGGCCACTGCTCAGTTTCTTTCATGGGTGACAATTCTTTTTCTCACGTGGTTCTGTGAGTGTGTCAACGTGCAAAAGTGTGTATCCTTTAGCATGAGTATGCACATGTGTGCATATGTGTGCATGCATATGGTTTTTGGAGACTCCCAGGCACTGGGCACTAAGCCCCTCATGAGGCATGCCCTTCCTGTTTTTCCAGGTCTGCTCTCACCAGCCCAGCACCCATGCAACCAGACCATTCCAGACCCAAGACAGGATTCTGGTCTTGCAGTTCTGAGACTCTTGGACCCTGTGTGAGGCTGGTTGCAGCTGGCACTGCCACACGTGGAGGTGGAGCAGAACCACACGATTGTAACAGTTACAAGCCTTGCAGAGCAGTCATTTTTATGAGGTTTGCAGTCAGCCTCGGTTTCCAGAGAGCTGCTGCAGAGCTGTTTATAAAACAGGCAACCTCAGTTGACTTCACTCATCCCTGGAGCTCCTTCCTGACTCTTCAGCCTGAAGTTTCCTTCTGCAGGAGGAGAAGGAAGCTCTCCCAGGTTTCCTTCTGCAAGAGACCTTGGGCAAGCTAGCTAGCCTCTTTTAGAATAAGGCACTGGCCACAGGTATCTGGCTGTTTTTTCATTTCTACCCAGCCATTTCACCACTTTTTGGCCTTCTTAATCTGTTTCCACCTGAATGAAGCTTCAGCTGGTCCATCTCAAATACACTCACAGAGAAGAGCCACGGCGCACACAAACCTGCCATCTTCCCTGCTTTTCTCACGTTGCTGTGCCTCCCAGCCAGCAGAGGAAGAATGACTCCAAACTGGGCAATTTGCCTAAGTGTTGGCAGTGCCACCCAGAGGTTTAGAGTTGAGGAAACTAGCTTTGCGCAGTGGCAGTATCGTAGCCAATGAGGTTTATCCGAGGCTCGATTATTGCTAATAGAGTTGAGGAAACTGGCCGATGTTGCTGTACCCCTTCCTAGGCCATGTAGCAGAGTATTGAGTCGCTGGGGGCAGCCCACGGTGGCGAGCTCTGAGCAGCGACTCCTGGCTTTTTCCTTCCCCATGTTCCCTTGGGCCACTGACTTCTATCTTCAGGCCTACCAAAGAGTGTTTGTTAATTTTTTTGTTTTGTTTTCTTCTATTTTGCTTTTTTGAGTCAATGTCTCACTCTGCCACCAAGGCTGCAGTGCAGAGGTGTGATCATAGCTCCCTGCAGCCTCCAACTCTGCTGCCCAGGCTGTTCTTGAGCTCCTGGGCTCAAGCAATCCTCCTACATCGGCCTCCCTAAGTTCTGGGATTACAGGCATGAACCACTGTGCCTGGCCCTATTGAATAGTTTAATACACCTATCTAACTGCCCCTTGCCCTTGCACTAGATCCTCAAGGGGAGTGACGGTTGGCCACAAGGCAGAGTGGGGCTGAGACAGATCCAAGTTTGAAGCCAAGATGCATGCTTGCTAGTTGGACAAGCAACCTAACCTTTCCAAACCTCAGTTTCTTCATCTGTGAAATGGATTGGTGGTAATTCTCTCTCGCGGTGGTTTTAAATGAATGATTATGTAAAAGCTTGTGTGCAGCTTGGCATATAATAGGTGCCATCAACAAATGATACTTGTTACTTCCACCAACCCCACTGCCTACCTCCAACTACACCAGCACACTAGTACCACCATCACTGTCAGCAATGTGTCTAGACATGCGTCAGCTGGCAAACCAGCCCTTTCTATGTGGGAGAGGGAGAAGGGCAGAGAATGAAAGGAAGAAATGAGAAATGGGAGAAATGGCACGTGGCCACTCCAGAGACATCCTGCCTGGGGCAGGGATTATAACATTGGGCCAGCCTATGACCCATAGACCAGATGGCTTGGCTGGTCCCAGATCCCCAACTTCAGAACAGCCCACCCTCTGATCCTGTTCAGACTCATGTCCTTCATCTAGGCTGGAATGTTCTGGAATCTGTAGGTCATGTTGAAACAGCTCTGGAGCTCTGGAGCCAGGCAGATCTGGACCCAAATTCTAGATCCACAACTTACCAGCAGCATAAGCTCAGACAGGTCACTTATTTTCTCCAAGCCTAAATTTCCTCATCTGAAAAATGGGTATAGCAGTTGCTATCTCAGAGGGTTTCTGGGTAGTGTAAGTGGGATCACAGAGCCATTGCCCAGGTCCTGCTTGATACACTGGAGATGCTCATTTCCCAGTAGTTTTGCCTATTCCCCATTTCTGTCCCACTGATCCATCTTCCACTTACAAGGGACTGGGTCTCTCAGCAATGGGGCCACCACTTCATGCTTCCTCCTTAGGAGAGGCGCCCTGAGAAACATGTGGAGACTGACAGTCTGAGTAGCTGAGTGAGTTTGACCCTGGGTACCATGTGCCTTTGCCACAGTTCTTTGCTGTCTTGGAGGCTTAGTTTCCACATCTGTTAAATGGAAATAATAATGATCTTTGTATTTTAGAGTTGTGGTGAGGATTGAATGAAAGTGCCTACAGCTCAGAAGGGGACGAGCAAGTGTGACTGCTGGTATCCATTTGTTAACATTGCTAATGTTATCACTGTTAAAATATTTCCTGTTTTCTTGCTGTGAGTGGGTCAGAGAGTATTTGGTTTCCAGCGTTACAACACCTTAGCTAAAGGCCAGAGTGGTAAGAGGAGTTTAGATCTGGCCTGGTCACCTCCAGCTATGTCTGGAAAGGAGCTGGCATTTTGCTTTGGGCACACCTGCAAGCTGGGCACATATCGCATGTGTCCCAGTGAGTCACCTTGCAGAGTCAGAGCCCACTAAGCATACCTCAGGCTGCCGGGGTGTGCTGAGAATTGTCTCTGCAACTCAGATACATCCAAGTCCACCAGGAATTCTCCAGGAATTAATGGCTGCCTGATGCCCAGGAACCCCATGATTTTCTGTGATGCTCTGGGCGGGTATCTTCCCTGGTCAGAGACTCGAACCTCTGCCCCTTTGATTCAAGCCGCCTGTAATAGCGGGGACCTACTGTATTGGAAGGCTCAAAGGCAAATCTGGCATTCACATTCCATCACCTACCAGCAGCACCAACAGGAGCCATTAAGCTCCCTTCTCTGCCCCTCAGCTTGCCCCGAGCGTATGTAATGACCCTGACTGGTTATTATGTTTGTAGGCTGTTGTGAAACTCTAAGAAGAATCCAGTGAGATCATGTTTGGGAAAGCCATGTGCAAACCTAAATGATATGGATACCAGCAAAATTAGAAACTCCATCATGTAACTTAGGCAGTATCTCTTTTTTTTCTGGTCTCAATTTTCTTGCCTGTAAAAGGAAGGGTTTGGGTTAGATTGGCATTCTTAGGGTGATGATTTATGAAAAAAAAAGTTCAGTGTTTAAATAAATCTGATAAAGGCTACACCTGTGACCCCCCTCCTGGCACGTCACAGCGTGCACTTGTGTATCAAAGGCTAGGAGAAGCCTGCAAGAAGCAAGCTATTTTGCTTTGCTTAACCTAGATTTTACTAATTTGACCATAAAGCCTCGCTATTATGGTTATCATTATTCCTATCACAACTACTCTTACTGTTATGATGATTAATACTGACTACTGTGCATCATCTTTGGAAATAGCCAGCTGAGCAGATGCCTGGGATCTTTGCAGCTCTTGCAGACACGGATCCAAGACTGGCAGAGGAAGGGGTCTGTCAGGTCACATTCTGTCTCTGTGTTGTCCAGGTGCCTTCCTGATCCCGTATACACTGTTCCTCATCATCGCGGGGATGCCCCTGTTCTACATGGAGCTGGCTCTGGGACAGTACAACCGGGAGGGGGCTGCCACCGTATGGAAAATCTGCCCAATCTTCAAAGGTAAAGAAGGGGTGGGAGGAGGTTCATAGTTGTTCGTAAAGGCTTCCCTGTTGCCCTGGGGAATCAGCTCCAGTGGTGAGATCTGAGGTAGACCGCCTGTCATGTGGGACTCACACATATTAACAAGGTCAAGAGTGTCCACAATTCCAAAGCGTTCAGTGTGTTGGGAATAACATTAGCATAGAAGGTCTGGAAACCTGGGTTCCAATCCAGCTCTGCCTGCTGAGTGACCAGAGAGTCTGTTTCCTGCATGGGAAATTTTCACAGAAGAGTCAGAAGTACCCAGCACATAAACTACTCTCTCCTTTTGCTCCCATGGCAGACGTGAGAAGTTGATTACGGATCTTTTGAGCTCAGCCAGAAAGCTGACTCAAAATCCTTAGTACGATAGCCACAACCAGTTGATTGCAGCTGAAATATAAGATGAGGCCTACTTGTATTTGGGACTAAGAACACATCTGCAGAAAGTAGCCAGAGCAACTGCCATTTCTTGGCCCCTATACAGCTGGGAGTAGGGCATGGAGGAAGAGTTACTCTCTCCCAAGCACTGGTTGGAGAACTGGACACAGATGGCAGTGAGGGCCAGTGTGACTCCCATGGGCCTCTTCTCAGCGGGCATGCATCTCCTGAGTTTCTCCTGCATACTCAGTCCTGTGGGAGATACAGCTGGTACAAGAGTCTTAGAAGACAAGTGCACTACTTTTTTTTGTTGGTAATTGTCAGAAATTCAACTAAAACTGGCTTCAATATAAAAGAGAATTGACATTTGTTACAGTAAAGTCCGAAAATTGGCTTCAGGTATAGATAGATCCAGATACCCAAATGATGTTGTCTGAAATCTATCTCTCTTTTTGTGTCTCAGATCTGTTTTTTTCTGTTAGCATCAGTCTCAGGTATATTCTTCTCAAATACCTGCAAAGATGGCCATCAGCAACTTCAGGCTTAAATTTTACTAAGTTTAAATTTTACCAAAAGCAAGCAAGTGAACAAACAAAAACCCTTATAGATTCACAGCTCCTTAAAGGTCCCAGAGAAGATTCTCATTGGTTTAACTTGAATCACATGGCCAGCTATTAACCAGTAATGGTGACTGTGGGGAAGCAGTGCTCTGATTGACCAGGCATACATCACGTGATGGAGTAAGGGTGGGGATTAACCTCACCCACACCTCACAGGCTAATCACAGCTTAAGGCTAATTCCTTAAAAAACGATGTTTGGCAGACAAACAATACATCTACCCCAGACAAAAGCTATAGGACTAGCCCTAACGGAGCTTGTGATACATTGAGGAACACAATACTGGCACCCGAACAGGTGGTTGGGAGTAGGACCCAGAAGGCACACGGGGTTGAAGTTCCTATCAGGGAGTGCTTGCATGCGTTTCCCCAGGAGCAGTTCGGAGACAAGGATTTAAGTGTAAGGAGTTAGCGTGGGAGGTGATCCTTAGGGAGCAGCAGCTGGGGATAGGGAAAGGGAGGCACTCACAAATCGTGTACACCAAGTCAGTGCCACCGTAGGCAGGGAGCTCAATCCCAGCAGGGGAGAATGTGAACACCCGTCAGTGCTATCCTTCCCAGGAGGCGAGGGAGCTGGATACTCACACTCCACCTCCTAACATGGCTGCCCACCTGGGAGCAAGAAGGTCAATGAGTGCGCAGAGGGGCTCCAGTGGAAACAGAGAGCTCTCGGGCAAAGAGACAGCAGGCACCTAGGGACTCTGACAATCTGCTGCAGCATGTTTCCCCAGTCCCCGGCCATGGACCAGTATCCGTGTGGTCTATGGCCTATTAGCAATGGGGCCACACAGCCGGAGGTGAGCAGTGGGTGAGTGAGTGAAGCTTCCTGTGTGTTTACAGCTGCTCCCCAGCACTGGTCTGAGCGCCTGAGCTGCGCCTCCTGTCAGCCCAGCTGCAGCGTTAGATTTGCATAGGAGCGCGAACCCTACTGGGAACTGCGCCTGCGAGAGGTCTAGGTTGTGTGCCCCTTATGAGACTCTCACTAATGCTTGATGACCTGAGGTGCAACAGTTTCATCCCGAAGCTATCCCCACCCCAAAATCTGTGGGAAAATTGTCTTCCATGAGACTGGTCCCTGGTGCCGAAATGGCTGGGGACCGCTGTGCTACAGGAAACGAGAGGCGGAGGGAATGGGAACAGTGGTGGAACTGCCCCCAAGGAGAGGTGGCTGTGGGGCTGGGCCTGGGACACCCCTGCCTTATCCTGTGTCCCCCACCAGGCGTTGGCTATGCTGTCATCCTGATCGCCCTGTACGTTGGCTTCTACTACAACGTCATCATCGCCTGGTCACTCTACTACCTCTTCTCCTCCTTCACCCTCAACCTACCCTGGACCGACTGTGGCCACACCTGGAACAGCCCCAACTGTACCGACCCCAAGCTCCTCAATGGCTCCGTGCTTGGCAACCACACCAAGTACTCCAAGTACAAGTTCACGCCGGCAGCGGAGTTTTATGAGTAAGTCACAGACCGCTTGTGCTGGGCCTTTTGAGGCCAGTGCTGGGTATGACCTGAGCCAAGCATTAAGGAAAGCCACAGACTAAGGAGACACATGCTGTCAGGATATTAATGTTTACTGAGCGGCCACAGGCCTGATGCTGGGTGAGGGGCTGAGGACACAGCCACAGTCGAGGCAGTTGGAGGAGGTTGTGTTCTGGCGCAGGAGAGTGGAGGAGGGCAAGAGAATACACAAGTAAACAGATAAGGGAGTGAGAATGTTCTGGAGAGTGTGTGTGCAACACTTCCTGGGGTGTGTAACTGCTCTTAAGGAACTGAAACCACGTATGCGGGAAAAATCCATCATAGAGGGAAAAGAATGGTTGTGTGGGTAGTCAGGGAAGGCCTTTCTGAGGAGGTGACATAAGAACTGATGATGTCTGAGAAGGGAAGAGCTGCGGCTCAATGCAGGCGATGAACTGCAGGTTGAACCCAAGTTCATCTGACACTGAAGCTGTAATCTGACTCACCGTGGGCTGCAGTGCCCCTGAGGCTCCCATGAGAGAAAGTAGTCAGAGCTTGGACAAAACTCAAGAAGTAGGAAGCAGGCCAGCTGTATGCAGCTCTGGGAAGTTATTTGGACCGTGCGTGCATGAGAAGTACTGGCCCTTGGTGGAAGACAGAGTATCATTTTAAAAAAGAAACTTTTATGTTGAAATACTGTTAGACATAAAAAGCAGTAAGAATAGTGCATATAACCGTCACCCAGTCTCCCCTGATGTTGACACCTTACATAACCATGGTATGAGTTTGAAACCAGAAAATGAACACTGGCATACTGCTAGCTAACAAGCTGCAGACCTTACTTGAATTTCACCAGTTTTCACACTTGTGTTCTTTTCTGGTATTTAGTTGCCACGTTTCTTTGGTCTTCTCCAATCTGTTAATCTTTGCTCTTTCTTGATTTTCGCGACCTTGACGCTTGAAAAGTACTGGCCACGTGTTTTGTGAAATATCCCTCGATTTGGGTCTATTTGTTGTTTTCTCATTTTTAGACTGCGATTATGCATTTTTGCAAGAATACCTTAGAAAAAATGCTGTGCCCTCATCAGTGCATTCTGTCACGGGGTGGGGGAGACATGCTGGCCTTGTCTTGTTACTTACGATGTTAACCTTGCACACTTGGTTAAGGTGGAGACTGTCAGCTTCCTCCTGTGCAGAGAAAGTGATTTTCCTTTTTTAAATAATAAGTGTCTTTTAGGAGCATACCTTGAGTTTATGCAAATACCTTGATTCTCATCATACTTTGTCCACATTTCTTGGCATTCACTGATGATTCTTGCAAGTAAGAACTATTACTATAGTGTTTATCTAGTTGTAATTTCCTATTTCCATCATTCCTTATTTTATTTTATTTTTTTATTTTTTGAGATACAGTCTCACTGTCACCCAGGCTGGAGTGCAGTGGTGTAATCTCAGCTCACTGCAACCTCTGCCTCCCAGGTCTAAGTGATTCTCCTGCCTCAGCATCCTGAGTGGCTAGGATTACAAGTGTGCACCACCACGCCTAGCTAATTTTTATATTTTTAGTGAGACAGGGTTTCACCATGTGGGCCAGGCTGGTCAAACTCATGACCTCAGGTGATCCACCCACCTCGGCCTCCGAAAATGCTGGGATTACAGGCATGAGCCACTGTGCCTGGTCTATCATTCCTTCTAGATTAATTGAAATTCTTCTATAAGGATAAATTGTCCCTTCTCCCCTATTTATTTATTTATTTATTGAATTATTCATTTACATCAGTATGGGCTCCTGGATATATATTTTACTCTGTGGTCTTAATCCGTAACTATTATCATTGTTGTTATTATTATTATCTTATTTCAACTTTTATTTTAGATTCAGCGGTACAGATGCAGGTTGTTACATGTGTACATTGCATGATGCTGAGGTCTGGGGTGTGATTAAAACTGTCACCCAGGTAGTGAGCATAGTACCCAACAGGTAGTTTTTCAGCTCTTGTCCCCCTCCTCCCTCCCTCCTCACTCTTGTTGTCTCCAGTGTCTACTGTCCCAGTTTTTATGTTGATGTGTACTCAACGTTTCGCTCTCACTTGTGAGTAACAACATGTAGTATTTGGTTTTCTGTTCCTGCATTAAATTGCTTAGGATAGTGGCTTCCAGCTATACTCATGTCCCTGCAAAGGACATGATTTTGTCCTTTTTATGGCTGCATAGTATTCCATGGTATATATGTACCATATTTACTTTTCTTTTCTTTCCTTTTGTTTTTTTGTTTTTGTTTTTGCTTTTCTTGAGATGGAGTCTCTCTCTGTCACCCAGGCTGGAGTGCAGTTTTGGCTCACTGCAACCTCCACCTCCTGGGTTCAAGTGATTCTCCTGCCTCAGCCTACTGAGTAGCTGGGGTTACAGGAACCTGGCACCACACCTGGCTAATTTTTGTATTTTTAGCAGAGACGGGGTTTCACCGTGTTGGCCAGGCTGGTCTCAAACCCCTGACCTCAAGCGATCTGCCAGCCTTGGCCTCCCAAAATGCTGGGATTACAGGCATGAGCTACCGTGCCTAGCCATCACACTTTCTTATCCAATTTGTCATTGATGGACACCTAGTCTGATGACACGTCTTCACTATTGTGAGTAGCGCTGCAGTGAACATCCACGTGCAGGTGTCTTAGAATGATTCATCTTCCTTTGGGTAAATGCCCAGTAGTGGGATTGCTCAGTTGAATGGTAGTTCTATTTTTAGTTCTTTGAGAAATCTCCAAACTGCTTTTTATACTGGCTTAACTAATTTACATTCCCACTACAGTGTATAAGCATGTCCTTTTCGCTGCAGCCTCACCAGCATCTGTTATTTTTTATTTTTTTAATAATAGCCTTTCTGATGGCTGTGAAATCATAGCCATCATCATTTAATTTGTGGTTTCCCTGAGTCCTCTCAGCCTCTACTTCATCCATTTATGTCCTTGAGAAGGGCGATGACTGACTTGTTTTCAGCCGCCTGATTTCAAATGTTTGCATAGCGCTATGTTTACACTGCAGCATCCATTATCTTCATTCCTCAGGCATAGGTCAGTTCCATTTTATCAATTCCTACACAAACATGCCAGCAGGTAAGCAGAAAGTACCTGTTTCAAGCTGTGGGACAGACAGATAGATTCCACCCAAACTCTACCCTCAGGGCGCTCATGGTCCAGAGCAGAGGTCTCCAAACTTTTCTGCATAACATCAGAGGGTAAATATCGACTTTGCAGACCACATATATCCCTGTTGCGTGCTCTTTATTTTGCTTCTAAAAAGTAAAACCATTCTGAGCTCAGAGGTCATACCTAAACAGTCCACAGCTCAGATTTGGCCTTGGGGCCATGGTGTGCTGATTCCTGGCATAGTGCAAGATTTCCCAATATAACCCCACCATGATAGAAATGGTCCATATCTGTACAATCACCCACAGTGCCCACTTGCCACAGGTGGTTACTGAGCAGTTGAAATGTGGCTAGTGCGGCTGGAGAGCTGTATTTCTAACTTAATTTATTTACCTTTAAATAGACCAATGTGGCTAGTGACTACTGTATTGAGCAGTACAAAAAAAGTGTGAAAAAAGACAAATTCACAAGCAACAACACTTTGGGGTTCCTCTTCTTCATACCTATGGATTACCCAAGCCCAGAACCGGAGAATGAGTCCTAATTATCTGGAGACTGCGGTTATCCTAGGACCATCTCTTTCCCTGCCATGTTGGTGTAGCAGGGCCAAGGGGATTTCGTTTGGTTGAAAGTGACCTCTGGAAAGTCTACTGCCTCCTGAGGCTCAGGGGAGTCAGTGTTCTCAGGACCCAGGAAATACCCTCAATGGGCCACTGCAGAGAACTTGCTAAGCGTCCTGTACCTGCATCCACCTGTCTCCATTTATGATTCCCATGGACTTCTAACAGGCATGTGCAAAAATTACGTGTTTGAGAATTTTTCTAGGAGAGGGTCCATAGCTGCCGTGAAATTCTCAAATACCTCCCCAGCCCTCCCAGAGGATCTGAACCACTGCTGTCACTGAAAGCGAGCATCTGCTATAAGAAACCTGTCTTCCTCACCATCACATTAACAGCTAACCTCTTACCATATGTATGATGTTTTCTGTTAACTTCCTTGTATGTATTATTTTAATTTAAGCCTCACACCCACCTAATAAGGTTTCTGAACTCTTATCCTCATCACGGTCTTGGGGGGGCTTCATTTCACAGTTGAGACTGTGAAGTCCACAACCACACAACTATTACTGTACAGAGCCAAGATCTGGACCCAGGCAGTGTGCATTTGCAAAACTCTGACAATGAGCATCTCCTTCCATTTTGCACTGTAGGAGCTTACTTCTCCTCACTCTAACCCCAGCCCTGCCTCACAGGTAAACTTCACAGCCTGTACCCTTAACCTCTGTGTTATATTGACCTTTAGCCATTACACGTTTGTTTTTATGCAGAAATATTGTCATGGTAACAAATCACATTTACCCAGCTTAGATTATATCCCAGCCATAGTACAAAGCGCCCTTTTTATGCTATATTTTAATTGTGACCACCATGGTCTAAAATTATTTTTATAAATGAGAAAACAGGCACAAATCAGTAAGTGACTTGTCCAAGGTCATAGATGTTAGAAGTGGCATTAAAAGTCAGTTTGGACCCAGGCAGCCTATCTCTAAAGCCTAAGCTCTTAGCCCAGGGTTCTAAACCTTGACCGCACATCAGAATCACCTGGACAGCATGGATGCCTGGATTCTACATCCGAGATCCTGATTTCATTGGTCCAGGTACAGCCAGGGCACAGAGATTTCCATCAGTAGCTCCTCGTGAAATTCTAACATCCAACGAACGTTGGAAGCCCCTGTTTAGTCACTGCACTCTCCTGTCTTGGAATAAGATTCCTGCTGGGGTCAGACGGACCTCTCTACAGTCTCACGTTATAGAAAATCTAGGGCCTCCTTCACGTTTCTTCTGAGGAGCACGG